TCAACCTGACTGCGCTCGGCTCACACTAGTAGCCTATATCCCATGCCTGCCAGGGGCAAGCCAGGCATGGGGCAGCAAGGGGTGTTTGAGTGAGCAAGTGTGAGGTCCAGCCACTGCGCACAGTCTGGCACGCCGGCTACTGTAGCAGGGCAGGCAGCTCCAGGTATTGGCACAGGTGCTGGCTCTCTGTGAGGCTGTGGCTGGACCAGGCACACTGCAAGCAGCTTCTATGGCTGCCACTGGGGAACGTGGCGGTTCCTGGAAGCTTGCAGACTCCAGGGACCACAGGGCCCCAAAGTCACAGCCCTGGCTCGGGGAGCTCCTAAGTCTCAGCTCCCTGAAGAGTTGCAGCTCTTCTCTCCTCTTCACCCACAAAATGGCGAGCAAGGGGCATGTTTCAGCCCTGTTTGTATTACAGCTTTTTCAGCCCTGCCATTTGACAGGTCCCAAGTTCTTGTCCTGTATCCAGGAAGAACAAGGTATGCAGACAAGTGGAGGTTGAGCAAGGCGAAGAGGAGCTTTATTGAGTGACAGAATAGTTCAGAAGAGATCCTGGAGTGGGCAGCTCCTCTCCACAGGCAGGTCGTCATGTTGAGTGTTCAGCTCTCAGCACAGAGGAGGTCCTGGAGTGGGTAGCTCCTCTCTGCGGTTGGTCATCCCGACATCTGCAGCTCTCAGCAGAGAGGTGGCCCTGGAGGGAGTAGCTCCTAACTGCAGTTGGTCTTCCTGATGTCCATTTAGCTCTAGCTGAGCCGGGGCTTTTCTGGGACTCAGAGGGAAAGAAGTGCACACCAACTGGTCCACGGGTGGCCATGGGCAGGCCCAGAAAAGGCATCACAACTTCCCACTCCAGTCTGTGGGACTGGCAGCCCAGCCCCCAACCTTCAGGCCCTCCCTAGCCTGAAGGTGGGTCTCACCAGGGACCCGCCCCCTTCTGCCCAGGAGCTTTGTCTGCCTCCTGCTGCCATTTATGGTGTCCAAGCTGTTCGTGCCAAGGGGTGCCTGCAGGCCACTGCCAAGCTGCCCTCAGCCACCCCCTCAGCTTCCCTCCCATGCTCATCAGCACCCAAAGTCTGGAGGGGGCTGAGGCAGCAGGGGGTTGGCATGCAGCACTAACCCCAAGAGTGCACACAACCATCCAGACTGCAACAACGCCCAGGCTTGGCCCCAACCTTGCTCCAAGATCAGAGCAGGCGCCAGAGTAGGGAGAGGCCAGGCAGTGGAAGCAGACACTTCTGGGCCTGCGGGGACAAGGGAGGCATTCCCAGACCCCCAGAGTGCAGGAATGCCAGGCTCCACAGTCATGACTTGGGCAGCTGTAGCTGCACCCAGAGGGCAGGACTCCTGCCTGCTCCCAGGCCCCTGCAAGAGCACAAGGAAGCCCAGGTCCACAGCCACAACTTGCAGCTGCACCCAGGGAGCTCCCATCCCACCAACTCAAAAGGGGTGGGATTCCCATTTGTCCCCAGCTTCCACCAGCTCTGTGGAATGTGCAGCCCCGGCTACACCTCCCCACTACAGCAGGTATGATGACAGTGGCCACTTCAGATGGGCTGCTGCTGCCATCACTGTGAACTGTATCTCAATAAACCTGTTTTTCTTAAAAGAAAAAAAATACAATAATTTGTTTTTAATAGATAGCAATCTAGCGGGGGTTTAAATGTCTGGAAATCTATATGACATTTAGTTTCTATTAGATTTGCATTATCGTTATACTTTTGGACAAATTCTTTAGAATGGCTACCACTTTATGTTCAACTCAAAATTATTTTCTACGTATTTTAGAGTAGTTTTTGAAAAGTATGACTTAAACATTTCTGAATATAAGCGTTTCATGTCTAATAACAGAAACTGTAGTTCTAGTAACAATGTTCTTTCTAGTGTTTTCCAACTGCTCTCATTTCTATTCCTTTACTCTTATTGCTAACACCTGCCTGAAATAACTTCTCCAATATGTTCAACATGTTAAAGAAATCATTCTCCTTCCCAAACATACTGCTCTAGCTGTGTCTCCAAAATCTATAAGTGGAATCAAAACGCTAGATATCCAGTGTATGTGTGAAGGAAGGATGTGTGATTCTTCTTTTCAAATTGAATAACTGAAAATTAGTGACCTAGGTTTCCCATTCAAGATATAAAGGGGGTGAGGAGTATAAGTAGCCTCAAATATAAATTCATATTTAACCTCCAATTTTTCCTTAGTAGCTTCCAATTACAGACTGGCATTTCAAGTGTTTGTTGGAATTTACCTGCATTTTTAAGTGTCTTGTAACTGAAAAGTCTTCAGATGATAGTCTCAGACATGGCCAGAAACAGAATTACAATCTAACTTAAATTATACCAAAAGTTGTCTTTAAAAGAAAAAAAAAAACTGAATGGCCAACCCTTGGATCAAAATCCTTTAGCAACTCCTATGATGTAGGGAAATTAAAAGTCCAAACTATTTGACACGATATTCAAGGCCTACTTGCTTGTCCCAAATTCTCTTTCCTACATTATCTTCTAAAAGTGTTGTTTCACCTTTCAAATATAGATCTAAAATCCAATGAAATTAATTGTACTGTATGGTGTGTAGAGGAATCCAGGTTTTTTTCCCACCAAAGAGATATCCAATTTTCCCAGCATTATTTATAGAAAAGGTCATCTTTTCCTAACAGCATCTACACTGCCTCTTTTACCATAAATTAGGCATCCATATGTGTGTGCATTTATTTATGGCTCTGGGCTCCGTTCCATTCATCTATTTGTCTAGTCTTCTGCCAATATCAAATTTTCTTAACCCTAAGAGGCCTTAATGACTAGTAGAGCAAGTGTTCCCACCTTATAGAAGAAAAGGTAATTGGAAAATATTTCTTTCCATTTATTTAATCTTTAATGTTTGCCAATCAAGTTTTAATATTTTCTGCATACACGTAACATGAGACTTCTTAGACTTACTCATAGAAACTTTTTGCTAATGAGATTGAAAATAGTAACTTTTCATTTTTACACAATTACTAGCAACAAAAATACAAAATTTGTTTATATTGATTGGTCTAAACTTCCTAACATCTATCTACAGATTGCTTTGCAATTCCTACATACATAATTGCATCATCTACAAATGATAAGAGTATTGTTTTTCCCTCTTCAATATGCATACCTCGTATAGCTTTGTCTGCAACAACGCCCAGGCTTGGCCCCAACCTTGCTCCAAGATCAGAGCAGGTGCCGGAGTAGGGAGAGGCCAGGCAGTGAAGCAGACACTTCTGGGCCTGCAGGGAAAAGGGAGGCCTTCCCAGACCCCCAGAGTGCAGGAATGCCAGGCTCCACAGTCATGACTTGGGCAGCTGTACTGCACCCAGAGGGCAGGACTCCTGCCTGCTCCCAGGCCCCTGCAAGAGCACAGGGAGGCCCAGGTCCACAGCCACAACTTGGGCGATCTATAGAACAGTATAGATATATACTGTGATCTATAGAATGTATTGGTCAGAAGTGTTCATAGCAAAACAAACACACTTGTCATATTCCCCATGTTATAAGAAAAGGTTTCATGTTTGAACATTAAGTCTGTTTGTTGTAAGTTTTTCTGTAGCTACCTTTAAGGAAACACTTTATATTCCTTGTTCTCTAAGATGAAGACTTTATAATGACTAAGTATTGAATTGTATCAAACATTTCTTCCACATCTATTGAGGTGATCCTCTTGATTTTTCTATAATATGAAAATGTGATAAATTAACATTAACTGACTTCTCTCATATTAAATAAACCTTGTATATTTGAAAAAAAATCAATTTAGTCATAATATATTATCCTTTTTATATCTCTTCCTGATGTAAAGCTCTACCAATCTGTTTAGGATTTTTATATACATGTTCACAAGTGAGACTGGGTTCCAATGAATTTTCTCATACCAAGTTTTATGAAGGTATAATTGACATACAGAACCCCGCAAATATTTAAAGTATACATTTTGTTAAGTGTTGAAGTATGTATACCCTGTGGAACCATCACCACAACTAAAATAAGTTAACATATCCATTATGTTCTTCCTCATACTCCTTAGTTCTCCATCCATACTGACCCTCCTTGTCCTCTTTTACCCAACCCCTGGGAACCATTCATCTGTATTCTGTCACTACAGATTACTTTGCATTACTTAAAATTTTATATACATGGGATCATACAGTAAGTACTCTTTTTTTTCCTGGATTCTTACATTCGGCATATTCTGAGATTCATCTATGTTACTGGTATGATAATAGTTTATTCTTTTTAACTGCTAAGTAATATTCCATTATATGGATATACCACAATTTATTTATCCATTCATATGTTGATGGCCACCTGGACTGTTTTCAGTTCTGGGATATTACCAAAAACCTGCTATAAACATTGACATACAAGTCACAGAGATTTTCCCCTATGTTTTTTCTAAAAGATCTCCTTTCACCTCTTAAGCTTAGGCCTTTATGCTCTTAATCTTTGATGTCTTAAAAAACCAAAACATTACATTTTGCATTCCTAATATTGCTTATCTGTCTTCTTTTTATCATGACCAAGCATGCCAGAGGTTTGTCAGTTTTTTCAAAGAACCAACTTTATTAGTTTTTTTCAAAGAACCAACTTTTGGCCTCCTTGATTTCTACTATATCTTTGTTTTCAGTTCACATATTGTTGGGTATGATTTTTGTCTTTACAACACAGGTCATTTAGACTTTGGAGCTATAGTTCTTAATTATGAACATAAAATTATCTGCTTATCTTTTTTGTTATTTTTCTGTTTTGCATATTACCAAACTTTAGAAAATTAGTTAAAATGTGCTTTAAGGCACAATATAGGATCAGTTTTCATAAATCTGGTATGTGTTTGAAAAGAGTGTCCATTCTATATGTCTTAGATAAGAATGTCCATTAGATCAGATTCCTGAAATGTGGTGGTTCAAATTAATCTATAGAGCATTAAATGATTTTTTTGCTCAGCCTGATCTATCAATTACTGAGAGATACACAGGATCTCTCCCACAATGATTATCAATTTGACTCTTCTACCTCATAGTTCTGTCAATTTTTGTTTTACATAGTTTGAACTATAGTTATTAGGGAATTACAGATTTTAAATTGTTACTTTTAAGACAGGGTCTCACTCTGTCATCCAGGATGGAGTGCAGTGACACGATCATGGTTCACTGCAGCTTCGACCACCCAGGCTCAAGCAATCCTCCTACTCAGCCTCCTGAGTAGCTAGGACTACAGGCATGCACTACCAGGTATGGCTATTTTTTTTTCTTTTTGTATATACGGGTTCTCATTATGTTGCCCAGGCTGGTCTTGAACTCCTGGGCTCAAATGATCCTCCTACCCTTAGCCTCCCAGAGTGCTGGGATTATAGGCATGAGCCACCATGCCTGGCCTAATTGTTATATCTTCTAGTAAACTGAAACTTTTATCATTTTAAGATTTCCTTTTTATATGCACAGTAATGCTTTCTGATTTATGGTCTATTTTGTCTAAAATTAATGTACCAACACCAACTGTTAGTATTTATGTGATATAATTTTATACTATTTAATGGATTTAACTATTGTGGACATTTCATATAAACAGAATCATACAATGTGTGGCCTTCTGTATCTGGCTTATTCCACATAGTATAACATCTTCAAGATTCATTCATGGTGTGGCATGTGCCAGAATTTTTCTTTTCTTTTCTTTGTGGAGGGATGGGGTCTCACTCTGTTGCCCAGGCTAGAGTACGGTAGTATCATCACAACACACTACTGCCTTGACCTTCTAGGCTCAAGCAATCCTCCCATCTCAGCCTCCCAAGTAGATGGGACCAGAGATAAAGGTCACAACACCCAGCTAATTTTTTTTAGTATTTGTAGAGACACTACCTCGTTATGCTGCCCAGGCTGATCTCAAACTTCTAGGCTCAAGCAATTCTCCCACCTTGGCTTCCCAAACTGCTGGAATTACAAGTGTGAGCCACCACACCCATCCAGAAGTGCATTCCTTTTTAAGGCTGAATAATATTTCATTGTATGGATATACCACATTTCATTTACCTATTCATTGGTTGATGGACATTTGGGTTATTTCTACTTTTTGGCTAGTGTGAGTAATGCTGCTATGAATATTTGTTTTTGTGCTATTTCTTTCCACTATTTTACTTCGAACCTTTTTGTATCCTCACATGTAGATGTCTTGATTATAAACAAAACATCATTATTATTTTGTTTTTTCGCCAATCTGACAATCTTTGTCTTTTAACAAGAACATTTACTCCCCTTATATTTCAGGTCATTATTGATATATTTGGGTTTAAATCTATAATCATATTTTGTGCTATTTTCTCCATTGGTTATATGATTTCCCTCACTTCTCTTCTTGATTGTTTTTGGATTGACTTTTAAAAATTATTCTATTTTCCCCCACTAACAGTTTTGGAATTACACATTATGTTTCTATTTTACCAATGATTACTCTAGAAATTCAAACCTGCATACTGGATACCCAGGAGTTCTACTTGCAAGGTTATAATAAAGACCCAATCAGAGCATCCCTCAGAAAACAACTACAAAGCCTACGTATTATAATACAGGAACATACACCTGACGTTTCTGGTGAGTAAACAGAGACAGATGGGTTCTGGTGGGAGTTCATGGTCACTCAGAGAATGGAAACATGGTGGGAGTTCTTAGTCACTTGGAGAAGAAAAAGTACGTTTCCTTCTCTCTAGCTTTTAGTCTGGGGACTAACTGCAGTGAGGGGGAGAGAGAATATGCAGTAGAGGTTCAGGGGGGTGCCTTATTAACTTTTCAGCATGAGAGTCTAGAAAAGAGAAGGTAGGAAGTTATTAATATTAAAGAATAAGGGTGATCACACAAGGGCAAGAGCTAGTAAGGACACTCCAAACTCAGTTTACCCAGATTTCTAGCTGGTCCTGAACAACAAAGCAGGGAGCAGACTCAAAGATCTAGCTAAAGACAAAAGGTCTCAAAGGAGATCAAAGCTCCCAGTCAAGAAACTGAATG